TCTCCATAGATATTACATAATCAAATCCATTTTCTTGGGGACCCAGCAGGATTATTCCCTCGGGCTGTTTGAAAAATCATATTTAATTTCCATGAAAAAATGTCAAATAAAATGAACATTTTTTCTTTCATTCAAAAAATTATTGAAATTTTTTATTTTTAAATGAAAAAGTCCAAATGAAATTAAATGAAGAAGTTGATTGTTTTCTTCTCTTTTCTCCCCCTCTTTTTTCCAGTGCATAAAAAATGGGGGGGATGCTGAAAAGGGGGGCAAGGCAACTTTTTTTTTTCTTCACATTTTCTTTTTTTGTTTGTTTTTTTCCTCACCCAGTGGAGGAAAAGGAGGGAATGCTAGAATTAAAAACTAGAGAAAGTTGAGGGAAAGAATTTTTCCAGGTTTTAATTCCCACTTTCTTTCCCCTTTTTATTTTTGTCTCTTTTTTTCCCCAGTAAGGGGGGAAAGGAAGAAAGTGGAAAAACTGAAAAACAAAATAAAATTCATCAAAAAATTCCCAAATAAAAAAAAATCTGGAACTTCTGATTCAATCAAAAAGCCATTTTTCATCAAAAGTTTCCAGCAAAAATTTTGAGCCAGTTCTATTGATCCTTTCAGTATATTATCTTCTGTTTTTAAAATACCAGGTAATGAGTATTTCACCACTTTCCTTTTGAGACTGTTCCACAGCCTAATACCCCTCACTATCAGTAGAGCCCTGCAAATAAGTGGATATCCACCCACCATGTTTGTAGGTCGCAGATGTGGATACAAATTTTGTATCTGTGCAGGGCTCTAACTACCAGATAATTATTTTCTGACATTTAGCCTAATTTTTTCCTCTGTCAGTTTCATTCCATTACTCTTCATTATATCCATGTATCACACCAACTCCTCACCATCCTTTGTATTCACAGCTTTTAAATATTTGTATTTTATGTCTCCACCTTTTGTCTCGTGGCCAAGCTACAGATATTAAACTCCACCTTAAAGTCAGGCCTTCCAGGGCCACAATAATTTCTATTGCTCTTCTTTGAACTTTATCCACTTTATCAACTTGACCCAGCTTATATCTTTTCTGACTTCTCTCTCAATACCCTGTTCCTCCCAAAACAAATGTGTTGCAATTGAACAGAGTAAATATGAATCCCCTAGCAAGATATCCTGAGTATTTATTCCCCTTTATGGGCCTGATTTTCCTGCACCACTGAAATCAATGGGACTTTTGTCATTGATTTCAACAGGAGCAGGATCAAGCCCTATGCGAATTATCTCCTTATTACCTTGATCACCTTGATCAATCGGTCCTTCAGCCCACGTATAGATTGCATTGATCACAATACGTTTTCCATTCTTCTTGTATCCTGGCCTTCCTTCTCCATGTGCAGCCATGTCTTTTCATGATAAAATCTTCCCATCTTTTTGGAGGTCGGCCGAGAGGTCATTTCAGTTCCCGTGGGTACCACTTGGCAACAGCTGTAGTCCATCGATTGTCAGTGAGCCTCGCTATATGCCCGGCCCATCGCATTTTACTCTGCCTGCTCTCAAGGATGACGTCCTGCACTCCACTCTGCTGTCTGATCACTTCATCGGGGACTCGGCCGTTACAGATGGCAAATCAGAGACAGCAGCTGAAAATATTCAACGAGGTAATCTTGAAAGCGAACATTTCCAAGGAAGACTAGAGTCTTCTAGATAACTGCGATGAGGATTATAAAAACTTCACTGATAAAAATTAGCCGAGAAAGAAAGACTGAAAAGAGCGAAGGGAAGAATCTCGGAGGAAATGCAGAACTTCCTAGAGAACTGGAGGAATATGAAGCAGAATGATGGTGACAAACTTGAGTACTTCCTCCTCTGCAAGTTGATAAGAAGAAGACTAAAGGAGGACTTCGAGAAGTACCAAAATGAAAGACTCTTAAGGATGGCTGAAGATCGGAGAAGCCTCAAAAAATGCAAAGAGAAATTGATGCTGTACAGGTCAACAATAATGGCGCTGAAGAACAGGGACAGAAAACCAGTAATTGACAGAACAGAGATGGAAGCGGTCTGCAAAGATTCTACACCGAACTGTTCGCATCTCAGATAAATGTCCCAGTACCAACACTTCAACAGACCATTGAGCATTTACTCCCAGTCCTTGTCAACAAAATCTGACATGCAGTTCACCAAATGAAGGAAGGAAAAGCCCCAGGTAAAGATGGACTGACAATCGAAATGATAAGACTGGAGGCCAAGACCTCTGGGAAACCCTTGTGCAGAGGTTTGGCTGTTACTTGGAAATGCAGAAGATACCATCTAGCTGGAAGGAGTCCAACACCATTCTGCTGTACAAGAAGAGCAATCCTGAAGATCTAAAGAACTATCGTCCAATATGCCTGCTCTCACATATCTACAAGCTGTTCACCTTATTACCATTCTTATCATTTTAAGGTTATGTCCCCCTACTGTTTGAAACCCTTGCTTTTATGAAAAAAATGTATCTCATCAGCTTTATTGATCTTGAAAATTTGAAAGTCTACTTTTCTGCCCCTACCTTTCCACCAACAACAAAAGCCATCTTCATCAAAGGCTCAATCTTGCTATCTCATAGGAGAGCCAAAAGAAATAACAATTCCTGAGATCACTGATGACCACCAGTGGGTGTGGCTCCCTGTACAGAGAGAACGAGGAGTACTTGTGGCACCTTAGAGATTAACAAATTTATTTGAGCATAAGCTTTTGTGGGCTAAAACCCACTTCATCAGATGCATGCAGTGGAAAATACAGTAGGAAGATATATATATACACAGAGAACATGAAAAAATGGGTGTTGCCATACCAACTGTAACGAGAGTAATCAATTAAGGTGAGCTATTACCAGCAGCAGAAAAAAAACTTTTGTAGTGATAATCAAGATGGCCCGTTTCCAACAGTTAACAAGAAGTTGTGAGTAATGGGCCATCCTGATTATCACTACAAACATTTTTTTTCTTTGGTTGAGAGTTCTGCACTGGCATAATAGTGTGGTTTTGCAGAGCTGTAGTGTAGTAGCTAATTGAGATTGCAACTAACAAGTGCGCTGCTGCTGCGGAAATATAAGATGGGATCAATTCTCAGATCTTCACTGAGCTACATCCAGCCCTTGTTCTTGGTTGTTATGTTTTCACTCTGACAGAGAAACGTCATTGACCATTTTCTAATAGTTATAGCTCATCATCATGTTTCCTCATCTTGAACTCTGTTTGCCAGGTTATAAATTAACCCTGCATATCCTATTTTGAAATTATGATGGCATAATGTAATCAATTAAAAAAAACCACTGTTTTGAATACCAGAGAAAAACTTTACAATATACGAATGGCATTAGACTGAACCGTATCTCAAAGGCTCCCGCAATGAACAAAATAATTTGATTTATAGGCTCTTGTGTAGCAGAAGTTGTGTTCATTCAATTAGTTGGGGGGAAAAAACCCATCTCATCTCTTCTCATGTGTTATTCTTGACAGTCTCTATTCAGCTCAAAAGTCATTTTGGATTCAGTTTTATTATTCTTGAGCCCAAGGCAGTCCAATAAAAGTAATAATGTTTCACATAGAGAAAATTAACTCTAATTATAATCCCTTTGCAGGAAGTGTTTTATGCTATTCCATTTAGATTTACGTTGCTTGTTTGACATTATTAGAGCTGGGCAGAATTTTTCAGACAAAACCTTTTTTTACTGAAAAATGCATGTTTGGGTTGACTGGAACATTTTATGACTTCATGTCAAATTCACTGAATGGTTTATGTCAAAAATGAAACAAAATAAATATTTCAAAAAAGGTAAAACATTTTGTTTTCACATTTTTAAAATGAAATATTTTGACTTTTTGATTCAAAATGACTTTCATTTAAAATTTATTTCAATTTTGTTTTAAAAAAATTAAAAAAAATTAAAAACATCAAGCAAATTGAAATGTTTCATTTTAAATCAAATAAAATGTTTCATTCAACCAGAAACAAAATATTTTTGACTTTTTCAGTTTGCCGAAAAATTATAATTTTGGGTTGATCTGAAACAATTCTTTTTATTAATTTTCAGTTCAGCCTTTAAACCGAAAAAACAGCTATGCACATAGCTCTAGTTATTTAACAGATGGTCACATGCAGGCAGCAGACACAGAACTGGGAAGACAGGAGGCACCATATAAATAATTTTTTTTCTTGCTAACGTTGCAGAATTTTTAGTTGTGTTTGAAAATGCACTTACTAAAATCATCATTAACAATTATAGATGGAGAATGGACTGCTTTGGTACCTGGCAATTGTCATTTGGGGTTATTTTTCCCAAAATACAAGTACTGAGATTACACTACTTTCATCTATGTGAAGATTGTTGATATTTGATCATTTCTGTTAATATTTGACAGGTTTTTTCTATGTTACTATCAGGAGCTTACTGAAGATGTATTTTTGTTAGTCTTCCTGTTCTTGGAACAGTTTTTTATAGAATCATACAAATGTAGGGCTGCAACGGACCTCGAGAGGTCATCTAGTCCAGCCCCCTGCATTGTGGCAGACCAAGTAAACCTAGACCATCCCTGACAGTTGTTTGTTCAATCTGTTCTTAAAAACCTCCTATGATTGGGGATTCCATAACCTCCCTTGGAAGCCTATTCCAGATTTCAACTACCTTTATGGTTAGAAAGTTTTACCTAATGTCTAATCTAAATTTCCATTGCTGCAGATTAGGCCCACTACTTCTTGTCCTACCTTCAGTGGACATGGAGAACAATTGATCAGTCCTCTGTATAATAGCGCTTAACATATTTGAAGACTGTTATCAGGTCCTCCCTCAATCTTTTTTCAAAATTAAACATGCACCATTTTTTAACCTTTCTTGCTGGGTCAGGTTTTCTAAAAGCTGAGCATGTTTAGTCATTAGTTTTGTAGACTATATTTGAAGATCTCGTTTGCCAGACCTGTAATTGTCAGTCTATCTTCAAAATCCATAACAATTTCTAAAGACATTTTTCTCTTTGCAGAAAGAGAAGGTGCTTTCACCACAGATGCCAGCATTCTCCAAGGATTAATCCCTTCATCCTTAAGTTACACCAGCTCCTATTAATATCATGGGACCTGACGGTGGTTTCCTAAGCAGTGGACAACTTCATGTCATTGTGTGGGGAAGTTTGGCAGCTGTGACAACACTCTTATTCCTTACTTTCCTTATCTTTCTGTGCTCCAGCTGTGACAGGTAAGACTCAGTGTGTCAGGTGACAATAAAGATAAAAAGCAGGAAACATGACAGAGGGAGTCCTGTTGCATTTTTCGTTAAGATATAAATAAAGGAAAATCCTACTGTCATCATAATATGTTCTCTTCAGTTCTAGGGTAAATATTTTGATGCCTTAAGTATAGCATGGATTGAAGTCATTTAATTTACAACCAAATAGCAAGAATGGCTGAAATTACAAAAAATCCTAAAAATGGGCCACAAACCAAAGTAATTTATTGGCCAGTTTTCTTCACATGAAATTGCAAGCCCAATAGCAAAGATTGTTAATGAATCTGTGAATTCGGGGGTCAGACCCTATGACTGGGGAATTGCTAATATAGTACCTATTTTTAAGAAAGAGGAAAAAGTGACCCAGGAAACTACATGCCTGTTAGTTTGACCTCAATTGTATGCAAGGTCTTGGAACAAATTTGGAGAGAGAAAATAGTTAAGGACATAGAGGTAAAGAGTAATTGGGATAAAATACAACATGGTTTTACAAAAGGAGATCATGCAAGATCAACCTGATCTCTTTCTTTGAGAAGATAACCGATGTTTTCTACAAAGGAAATGCAGTGGATCTAATCTACCTGGATTTCAGTAAGGCATTTGATACAGTTCTACATGGGAAATTATAGTTAAATTGGAGAAGATGGGATTAATATGAGAATTGAAAGGTGGATAAGGAGTTGGTTAAAGGGGAGACTACAATGGATCAGACTGAAAGGTGAACTGTCAGGTTTGAGGGAGGTTCCTAATGGAGTTCCTCAGGGATTGGGTCTTGAGACAAATCTAATTCAACATTTTCAGAAATGACCTTTTCAGAAAAAGTGTGCTAATAAAATTTGTGGATGACACAAAGTTGGGAGGTATTGCCAATACGAGTGAGGACAGAAATATCATACGAGAAGATTTGGATGGCCTTGTAAACTGGAGTAATTTAATAGTGCAAAGTCATGTATTTAGGGACTAACAACAAGAACTTTTGCTGAAAGCTGGGGACGCATCAGTTGGAAGCAACAGAGGAGAAAAATCTAGGTGTATTGGTTGATCACAGGATGACTGTGAGCCACTAATGTGATGCAGATGTGAAAAAGACTAATGCAATCCTACACACATCAGGCAAAGTATTTCCACTAGAGACAGGGAAGTGTTAGTACCATTATACAAGGCACTGGTGAGACCTCATCTGGAATACCATGTGTAATTCTGGTCTCGCATGTTTAAAAAAGATTATTTCAAACTGAAACAGGTGCAGGGAAGGGCTACTAAGGTGATCAGAGGAATGGAAAACCTACCTTATGAGAGGAGATTAAAGGAGCTTGGTTTGTTTAGCCTAACCAAATGCAGGCTGAGGGGAGATACGATTGCTGTCTATAAATACATAAAAGGGAAAATACCAGGGAGGGAAAGGGATTATTTAAATTAAGTGCCAGTGTGGACACAAGAACAAATGGATATAAACTGGCCATCAACAAGTTCAGGCTTGAAATTTGATGAAGGCTTCTAACTAAGGCTGTCAATTAATCGCAGTTAACTCATGCGATTAACTCAAAAAAAGTAATCATGATTTAAAAAATTAATTGTGATTAATCGCAGTTTTAATTGCACTGTTAAACAATAGAATACCAATTGAAATTTATTAAATATATTTCTACATTTTCATATATATTGTATTCTGTGTTGTAATTGAAATCAAAGTGTATATTATTTTTTATTCTAAATATTTCCACTGTAAAAATTATAAACAAAAGAAATCGTATGTTTCAGTGCACCTCATACAAGTACTGCTGTGCAATCTCTTTGTCGTGAAAGTGCAACTTACAAATGTAGATTTTTTTGTGTTACATAACTGCACTCAAAAACAAAACAATGTAAAACTTCAGAGCCTACAAGTCCACTCAGTCCTACTTCTTGTTCAGCCAATCGCTAAGACAAACAAGTTTGTTTACATTTACAAGAGATAATGCTGCCCACCTCTTGTTTACAGTGTCACCAGAAGTGAGAACAGGCGTTTGCATGGCACTTTTGTAGCTGGCATTACAAGGTATTTACATGCCAGATATGCTAAACATTCGTTTGCCCTTTCATGCTTCGGCCACCATTCCAGAGGACATGCTTCCATGCTGATGACGCTCGTTAAAAAAAAATGTGTTAATTAAATTTGTGATTGAACTCCTGGAGGGAGAATTGTATAATTCATGTTATAGCAGTCTCGGATGATGCCTCAGCACATATTGTTCATTTTAAGAACACTTTCACTGCAGATTTGACAAAACACAAAGAAGGTACCAATGTAAAATTTCTAAAGATAGCTACAGTACTCGACTCAAGGTTTAAGAATCTGAAGTGCCTTCCAAAATCTGAGAGGCATGAGGTGTGGAGCATGCTCTCAGAAGTCTTAAAAGAGAACAATCTGATGCAGAAACTACAGAACCCAAACCACCAAAAAAGAAAGCTGCTTTGGCTTGTTATTGAGCAGAACCTGTCATCAGCATGGACACGTGTCCCCTGGAATGGTGGTTGAAGAATGAAGGGACATATGAGTCTTTAGCACATCTGGCACGTAAATATCTTGCGACGCTAGCTACAATGGTGCCATTAGAATGCCTGTTCTCACGTTCAGGTGACGTTGTAAACAAGAAGCGTGCAGCATTATCTCCAGCAAATGTAAACAAACGTGTTTGTCTTAGTGATTGTCTGAACAAGAAGTAAGACTGAGTGGACTTGCAGGCTCTAAAATTATGTATTGTTTTATTTTTCAATGCAATTTTTTTTGTATATAATTCTACATTTGTAAGTTCAGCTTTCATGATAAAGAGATTGCACTACAGTATTTGTATTAGTTGAATTGAAAAATACTATTTCTTTTTTTTACAGTGCAAATACTTGTAATCAAAAATAAATATAAAGTGAGCACTGTACACTTTGTATTCTGTGTTGTAATTGAAATCAATATATTTGAAAAATGTAGAAAACATCCAAAAATATTTAAATAAATGGTATTCTATTATTAACAGTGCGATTAATCGCGATTAATTTTTTTAATCGCTTGACAGCCCTACTTCTAACCATCAGAGGAGTGAAGTTCTGGAAAAGCCTTCCAAGTGGAACAATGGAGCAAACAACCTAACTGGCTTAAAGACTGAGCATGATAAATGTATGAAGGGGATGGTCTGATGAGATTGCCTATAACGGCATGTGGCCTATCTGCGACTGCCAGGAGCAAATATCCCCAGCAGCTGGAGGTGGGACACTAGATGGGGAAAGCTCTGAGTTACTTCAGAGTATTCTTTCCCAGGTGTCTTGCTGATGTGCTTTGGGTCCAACTGACAGCCAAATTTGGGGTCAGCAAGGTTTTTCTCTCCTGGTCAGATTGGCAAAGATCCTGGGGGGGGTGAGGGGCGGTGGAGGGTTCACCTTCCTCTGCAGCATGGGGCACAGTTCACTTGCAGGTTTAAACTAAAGTAAACGGTGGATTCTCTGTAACTTGAAGTCTTTAAAGGAGTTCAGTAACTCAGCCAGAGGTTATGGCTCTATTACAGGAGTGGGTGGGTGAGGTTCTGTGGCCTGCAGTGTGCAGGTCAGATTAGATGATCACGGGGTCCCTCCTTGCCTCAAAGTCTATGAGTCTTTGAGGTTAAAATCGCTATGGTTATGTAGTGAAGTCCTAAACTCTGAATTCCCTTGCAAAACAAGGCAACCTGTATCGTACATTGAACAGATCTTGTACTTCCTTTCCTCTGCAATGGACCCCTCTCACAGACGCCAGCATGTCAATAAGGTGCTCACCCACATACTACAACCTGAAACTCTCAAGGACACTTATGGTCACAGGCCAGTGGTATTGTATCCATGACTTGTGAAGTGAGAAAAGAGGTTTGCTATGTTCTGCAGGTTATCGTCCAAACATCCTCCCTCTCTGCCCAGCTATTGGGTCAATTAGATCTGTCCAGACGTTATAGATTATTTTCAATAAGAGATGTTTGTTTACAGTATTGATTACAGCACAATGCAAAAGAGAAAAGATTTAAGCTTAAGTAAATTATGTTCAATGAAGTCAGTACTTCAGTCTGATTTGAATCGTTTCTTTTGGTACTGGCATCATTGATTGATAACAGCTACCGCAAATATAGAGGGGCAGAACCAACAGAGGGGGCACTTTGTAGAGTATACAGGAATAGTGAATATGGGAATTGTTTTGATTTCTCAAATTCTTAGCACTGAAGAGGGGCTGATGAGGGCTTCAGATCCCCCCACACTTTTCAAGTCGTGTGTTAACAGTTCTTGGACTAAGTTATTCTACAAGTCTTGCAGGGTAGATTCAGTAAATTGCACCTAGGTCCTTTCAAGGAAAAACCCTGTAAAACCTTCCCCACGTACAGGATGTGTCTTTCGCTTCCACAGCCTTCCTGCTGGTGATGTGTAGGAGCTCTGTACACCAACAGCCTCCTTTTTTCCCTCACTCCGTCTGAGACTCCCTTCTCTGCCTGAAATGCCAGCACAGACCAGGGAGCCCAGGGCGGAAGAGAAAGTGAGTGGTATTCTGCTCCCGGTGTTCAGTGCTTGGATCACTAACCTGCCCAGGTTTTCAGGCAGAGCAGAGAACCTTGGAGAGAAGCAGGAGATGAATGTTCTGGTGGGTTGAACTGAGCAGAAGCATATGGGAGACAGAGGAAGCAGTAAGCAAAGTATTACATTGATATACCTACAAGTTTCACCTTTTTCTCCTCCCTCTTTGGAGACTTAGGGGCTGATCCTGCACCCCCCAAAGTTAAGAACAAGGATCAAACCTTCAGATTTCATTAGCAAGCATGGTACTAAGCAAAGCTTTGATTTGCCACTCTACCCTTAAGATTTCCTTTGTTATTAGAGAGCCTCATTCCACCAAGACCAGCAGCTTCTCTGAATATAAATACTTTGGTTTTGAAAGTAGAATTTCAAGCCCTTTCCAAAACATGTAAAATCAGCCCCACTGATGAAATGATGGTGACTTTCATTGACTTTAATGGATCATGCAGCTAAGTGAGGTGCAGTGTAGTGCTTTAAAATTTTACTCTTTAAAATCCAGAGGACTTTTCTGAAAAAATTCTAACAATGGTGGGTTAAGTTTTGAGCAGAAAAATTTTGTTTTATTTACACTAGTGTAAATCCAGAGTAATTACATAAATGTCAATGGATTTAATCTGGATTTTACATCATTTTAAATGAGAGTAGAAACACGTCCATAATATTTACAGCTGAAAATAGAGCAATGGTTGCCTGAGCTGTGCAACCTGCATCTGACCCAGAATGGATGTCTAATAAGTAGATTGAGATTGACTTCTTTATATGAACAATAAAGAGTAAAAAGGTTTTTAAAAATTTTCAAAAATTATACATTAAAATTATGAAAATTACAAAAATTTTGCATCATTTTTCTTTACTACTGTAAAGAATGTGGAAATGCTCAACAAGGAATATTGATGTGTACCCCAAAATGTGGCTTATGTTGTGGTCTATGGGAATGTCAGGAGAAGCAGACCGTTTCAGCACACTCCTCTCAGACCAGTGATTGCAAGTCATTAAGGCTAAATAGGTTATTTTCTTAGATGATCTGCCTGAACTACTGGGAGAAACCAGTCTGAGGCAAAAGGAAGACTTCACATCTGGGTTCTGTAAAAAGGCCACTTAGCAATATGGTAATTGGGGGCCAGAATCCCAGAAATGCATAGGAAGGGTGGGGGTTTTTTGAGAGAGCCTGTAACAAAGTGGTCTTTGGTGGGACAATACTGAGAGTATCAATTCAGGACAAATTGCTTAGAGAAGGGCAGTTATAGCCCAAGGCTGGAGCCCTTCACTACTAAGTCACACCAAACCAGCCAAACAGAGAGGACTTCGGTTTTACCCCACTGGCTAATCAGAAGTCATACAAGCAATTCCCTCAGACACTTCAGTTTCCCAGTATCACCACCAGCACTGCTCCTTATGGGGATGAATGGTTATGAAAACCAATACCCCAATAAAAGAAAAAAGGTTCTTCCAATCCCAAAGGATCAAGCCCCAGACCCAGGTCAATATACAAGTCAGATCTTACCTACAAATCACACTGTTGCCAGTTCTTTAGAATCTAAAATCTAAAGATTTATTCATAAAAAGAAAGAAATATAGATGAGAGTTAAAATTGGTTAAATGAAATCAAATACATACAACAATTGCAAAATTCTTAGTTCATGCTTGTTTCATGCTTGATGGGATTAGTGCTGATTTAAACCAATCAAGTCTCTGGAGTACAAACATCCCAGCTTGGATGGGTTGTTCAGTCCTTTGTTCAGAGCTTCTGTTTCAAGTACAGTTCCTCCAGAGGTCAGAAGCAGGATTGAAGACAAAATGTAGTGGTTTTCAGGGCCTTTTATATTCTCTGCCATGTGGAAGGACCCCTTTGTTCTTACTGTGGAAAATCAGAGCAGCAAGATGGAGTTTGGAGTCACATGGGCAAGTCACATGTCCATGCATGACTCAGTTTGCAGGCGGCAGCCATTGCTCACATGCTATCTTGAACATTCCCAGCTTTCTCAGATGTGGATTGGAGTCTCCCAAGGTTCATTGTCAGTTAAGTGTTTCTTGATTGGGCACTTACTCAGAATAGTCCTTTCTCAAGAAGCTGACCAAATGCTTCACTGATGCTACTTAGAATCAAACACATTGAGATACAAGTACATAGCCAATATTCATAACTTCAAATACAAAAATGATACTCACATACGGATAGCATAATTATAACTAGTAAATTACAACCTTTCCATAGACACCTTACTTGATCTCCTTTGTACAAGATTTGGTGCAACTATAGGACCTTGGTTGCAACAGTGATTTTTACGGTCCCAGTTCATGTCAATAATGTCACAGAACCTAACTTCCCTGAAAGGGAAAAACAGACTGAGGCACTCTCTGGAAGACAATTGGGACCAGGCTGGGCCCAAGAGCTCCTTGGCTTTCTAAAAAGCATGTGTAAATTGGTTCTGCTCTTAAAAGGGGTACCCATCTAATCTCATTCTTTACTACAAGATCTCATGAGCATTCCCACATTTGTCACAACTGCCTGTATACAGATATGAGTTAAAAATCCTCTTGTTCTTAATCACAGTTCTGATTAATGAATATTGCTCTATATTGTATCTAATAATGCTTGAGTCCCAGAGACAATGCCAGAAACAGGAAGCAGCAGAAAGCTTTTATGAGAATCAATCTGTTGGATATTTCTAACAAGTTATGCAAATTCATTGTTAGAAGTTATCTAGATGTTCTTCAGTAATTCAGCATGTTGCTAGTCTGCATGCAGTATCGTTTATTACAAGTTAGTTTGTTTGGTGAGTTGTTTACAAATTATATACAATTTCTTCATAGCACACTTTTTGAAAATTGTTGATGAAATATTTGATGACTTAAAAAGAGTAAAATCTGCCATGCTTAAAATGCTTTGTCAAAATGCTTTGAGGGAATGAAGTACACCTCTACCCCGATATAACACAACCTGATATAACATGAATTCGGATATAACATGGTAAAGCAGGGCGCCGGGGGGGGTTCGCGCTCCAGCGGATCAAAGCAAGTTCGATATAACGCGGTTTCACCTATAACGCTGTAAGATTTTTTGGCTCCCGAGGACAGCATTATATCGGAGTAGAAGTGTATTTGTAAACATGAATCACATTCTGCATGGTATGAACGTTGGTATGGATTGAATTGATATAATTACTTGTTTCACAATTAAGTAGAAGTTTAAAGATATAGGCAGATTTCTGTTGTGGAAAATGCCATGTGTCTCCGAGTATTTGGGGTAGGCGACATCATTAGTCTCCCACCTCACCTCCCTGTGCTTCCCCTTCCCACTGCAGTCTTTACTCCCCTTTTTTCTCCAGATTAGAAGTTTCTATCTGTCAGCCTCATAGCTGTGTTTCAGAATAAGTGATCTTTTTCAGAAACGGGTGTTGGGGACTAATCCCTTCTAAGAATCTGTAGATGATAAAACATATCTGAAACACATTCATTGTATAATGAACTACATGCCACATGGTGCTACAAATTATACTGTAAGTGTTTTGCTTCTTAGAGTGCCCACTCTTTATCCACTTGTAGGTATTTTTTTTAAGGAATCATAAACTGTGCTGTTAGTAGGACTTATGTGGCCCATAGGACCTTTAAAAAACCTCTTCTAATTCCTCAGACTGTAGTGTTCCTTAAAAGGTGTTGCTCTGGCCATTTAAAGAGACAGCCTCATAGATTACAGAATCTGTCACAGAAAATACTTATGTGAGAATTTCAGCAAGTGACAAAAAGAAGGGTTACATTGATATTTTAATGTGGTAGTTCACAAACTTCTCCATTCTGTGAATGGATGTTAGAACAGGAAAATGTTTTGATGAGACTGTCTGAACCTGTTTGCTGCCCCTCTCTAGATAGTGGCAACTCCCAGGTTAAGAATCCATGTTTTAGTCTGAAGAATAAAAGTGCAGCAATATGGTCAATAGTGACCATCAGCACACTCATTTTACTAGAGGTTTACTGGATGTTCTCAGCATAATTTTACATTTTTTAATTTTGTTTTAATTTTGTTTTTAATTTAAGGGAAAAGAGGCCAAAACATCAGAATGGGGACCATGAAAATCTGATGAATGTGGTAAATATTATTTATTTATTACAGCTTGTGTCTTTCTAGTGGTTTGTAATGAGCCCTTTGCCCAAGCCTGGGCGTGCAAAATAAAATATTGCAGATGAGAAGGGGGAGGTTTAGGGAGGATTTGTGAGGTGGGTACAGTTGATTCCACTTAATAGCAATCTTGATATTAGCAACTTCCAGTTAATGGCAACATATTGCTGGGAACTAATCCCATCCCATTAACATCAGCGTTGATGGGATTCGGATATTAGCAATGGCATGTCACTTATTAGCAACTTTTGTTGGAAGAAAAGCACCACCTGCAGCCCCAGAAGGAAGCAGCGGGACATGCCGAGCACCCCCTGCAGGCAGGTTTGTGAGGCTACAGCCAGGGAAGGAAGTGCTGGGTTGTGTCTTCTCTGGCTGCAGCTCTGCGAACCTGCTTGCGGCTGGTGCTCGGCATATCCCAGTACTTCCTTCTGGGGCTTGCAGCCCAGCAAACCTGCCTGCACAAGGGGACCATATAGGAAGTAAAGGCTGGGAAGGGAGGCTGTGGGCAGAGGCAGTAGTGGAGTGGGGAACTGCAGCCCAGCAAATCTGCCTGCACACAGAGACCACACACGAGGCAGAGCAGTAGCAGGGAAAGGGGCTGCAGCCCGGATGCCACAGCAGCATGGTACCACTCTTGGGGCTGCACCTTGCTGGGGGACTGCACGCAGGGAAAGAAGCACTGGGATGTGGTGAGCCCCAGCCCCCAGAGAGTTCAGTGGAAGGCTTGGGTGAACAAGGATCAGGCAGCATCTGCGATGTCAGGCAGTGTCCTGAGGCTTTAGCATTTCCAGCATAGTAAAGGGCAAGGCGACGTCCCAACATTTAATGCTTACCTTTGAATTTTTATTGCATGGACTTAAGTCAGATTTAATTCAATTTATGCAGTGATGACATAAATAACAATGCTATTTTCACGCTGAACATAAATTGGTCAGAAAACAGGTGTGTGTAGTGGCTGCCATTAAAAAAGTCAACCTTTACTCAAAATTATCACACAGGGATAGCAAAGAAACCGCAGTCATTTTGTATTCTAATATTGTGGTAGATAAGATACCTCTTTGTGGTAAGTAGGTAAATGTTGACTTTTCACTGTGCGACAGTTTCTGATTTCATTTACACAGACTAGCCCCATTGAGTGCGGTGGACTTACTCCTGATTTGCACATGATAGCTTAGAATACAGTTGTATCCTGTATATGGCAAAGTACAATAGTATAACTTGTGGGAATTTGTCAGTCTGAGTGTGCAAAATAAGTGTAATTTACACACTGGCCACACAGTAGCAAAAGCAGCCAAGAAGAATGGCAGCTTGGTGGGCTATTTTCTCTACACCTTCCTGTTAGTAGCTTTTCCTGATACCCTAACCCCATGACTTCCACTTTTTCCTCACTCGGTTTGTAAATTACACTTGCTTTGCACACCCACTAACATCTGTTTTTTGACCATTTATACTACAGAACATTACTAGTGAGTTTGGACTCAAGATTTCCATGGAAGTTATAACTGCTTTACTCTTGGCTGAACTTCACAGTATAGTTAGATGCAGTTAGTGATTTAATATAACATATGCACGAATACTTTAATATTCTATTCTTACACCAGTTTTATACCTGATACAGAGCAGTGTGAGACCAGAATCAAATCCATAGTACGTGTATGCAGTAGCAGTGTGTGTATCCGTATAAACACATGTGTCCAGTTTCAAATTAACTGCACTACATTCACAATATTATTTTGCAATATAGTTTATCTTTTGCTCTACTTAAATGCTAGGTAACCCTTCAGATTTTTTGTTTTCCAGCCTTCAGATAAGGAGATGTTCAGCCATTCCATCACAAGTCTGGCTATAGATCCTCTTGTCAGCAGTGACCAGAATGGGGGACTGAGTAATGGGGATGGTAAGTACTGCAGTACTTTGAAAAGGAAAGGGAAAGAAATACCATGCTCTTTAATTAGTTTGTTTTGTATAGCATCCTTTATATCTGCTTCACTTTGTGCAGTCTCTTGGCCCCATCCTGCAAATATCCACATGCTTAACTTTATGCATGTGAGTAATGCCATTGACTTTAATAGAACTATTCACATGAGTAAAGCTAAGCACATGTGTAAACGTTTGCAAAATTAGCACCTTCAGCTGTAAACTCTTCAGGGCAGGAATTATCCCTTCTTTTAGATTTCAGCAGCACAAAGGCACATTTTGGGCAGGATGGGAAAATAAATTATAAATAATAACAATGTTCAAAGCTGTCCTGTTACCAGAGTCATTTGAATACACTATACAGTCAGTAGTTTGGAAAAAAACAAAACAACTTTCTTGTTCACTTGAACATATTTTTATATTTTAGAAAACTGAAACATGAATAAGCTCTTCCTTAATTCCTCTTGCTTTGCTGAACACTCAGAATGATTCACACTCATGTAACACCAGAAAATACTGTACTCAGCTGAAACTAAAAATAAACATGCTCTCAATACAGAGCTCCCAGGAGCCAACTGTTTTTTTCTCCCTGGGTTAGACGCTGACACACTGGGCTGCATTCCCTAGTTTACAGCTAAATCCCTAATCTCACTCTGAGGCTGTAAACTAATCCGTTAAACCTTTAGCACTCAAAAAACAATTAAAAGGAATTTTGAAACCTAACCTTTCTTATGGCTGATCCCCATTCCCTCAGACTGGTTGGTGTTTCACATTTAGGTGTATTTACCTCACAGAATGACTCAATACACTGAGTAGGCATAGCAAAGCCAGAAGGGGAGTATTTACAAAAGCTTCCATTGGAAAGTGCATGCAACTGACAGAATCAGCTACTAAAAGGAATAGTGTCTAATTCAGTTTTTTAAACTATCTCAAACTTCACAGTTGATGTAAATTGCCCTTTAAATAGCATGGACAGATTTGTTTTAATTTGTTATTTGTAATATCTTTCATGGCTCTGTCTGCTGCCCCGCTGGTGTTTGTGTGGATCTTTTCAGCAAGGGAGTATGGTCAGGCCTGAGAGCAGCACTGCTTAATGTATTCAGGTTTGTCCCTCTTTCCTCCCCCTGCTTCCACTCTGTATGCACACTTGCTACCTAGCCAGCCTCTTCACTTGGCCTTGGCAACAGCAGCACAGAGATGAGCTTTCAAAGTTCCAAACTACCCCACCCCGTTCCCCAGTCCTTACCTGGTTCCTGGTGCTGCCCAGGAGCTGCATCCTGGGAATGAAAAACACCTTACCAGATTCCCATTGGCCCCTGGGTTGAAGGAGAAGAAGGTTCCACTCCTGCCCTTTACCCAATTCCTATTGTTCTCTGGCTTTGTTCAAGGATCCCAGGAGGGAAAGGAGACTTCCTGACACCATCACTCCCAGCCTGAAACTCAGAAACATACTCAGTTATGTTGCTGTGTTACAGGTAAACATCCTCTTGTTGGGCTGGGGCAAAAGTGGACGCCCAGAGCAGGGTGTGAAAGCAGTCATCATGCTTCTGCACAGCAAAGAAAGTAGAGCTGACAACCAGAAAAATCAGTGACACTGATTACACTCAAAGTGCAGCCAAATCCACATATTAGACTGGAAAAGTGGAGGAAAATACCACTTTCTCTCTCTTCTTTTTTTTAAGCTTTTATCAGTGTGAAGTGTTACTAGAAGCTAGTAAGTAAAATAACCTCATAGAGAAATAATTTTCAGGTAGATGTCCCTTATAAAAGCACACGATAAAATCTTGAAAGTGTTTGTATGGATTTGTGTATACACCTCTACCCCGATATAACGCGACCTGATATAACACGGGTTCGCATACAACGCAGTAAAGCAGCGCTCCGGTGGATTAGCGCATCAGCTCCCAGCTGCAGTGCTCCGCTTCCCGCCGCCAGTGAGTGTGGGGAGGTTGGGGAAAGGATGCCCCCCCCGTACTCACCTGCGGCAGGAAGCAGAGCGACACAGCTGGGAGCTGGCGGAGTGGAGCGGGCTGGGGCTGGGCTACTCCGCTTCCCGCCGCTGCTGGTGAGTGCCTGTCAGGGGTGGGGGGGGGTGTGGATAGGGGTCGGGGCAGTCAGGGGACAGGGAGCAGGGGGGTTAGGTAGGGGGTGGGGTCCTGGGAGTGATTAGGGACGGGGGTCTCTGGAGGGGGCGGTCAGGGGACAAGGAGCAGGGAGGCCAAAGCAAGTTCAATATAACACGGTCTCACCTATAGTGCAGTAAGATTTTTGGCTCCGGAGGACCGCGTTATATCGGGGTAGAGGTGTATATCTGACTGCCAGCAAACTTCAGTGCATACCCACATGTGCGCAACCAGATAACAAGTTCTGTACATTCCATTCCAGCAGTATTATCTCTGAAAATAACAAGTTATTGTCATGTTCTCAGATGTGGGTTACATGTCCTGCTTAATAAAACAGGTTGCCCTTTTTTTCTTTTCCACCCCAAATCTAAGATGGACTACCTTATTTGTGGATGAGTAGTTACTAGTAATCCCTCATTTGTAGGACTAAAGGTTGTCAGTTCATATTATGCATTAGAGTATTAAGAAAAGTACTTCAATAAGGAACTCGTGGAGTAATGAATGTGCTCTGCAACCCAGCTGACTTCAGTAGGGTTGTACAAGGTGTGGGCCTTTCTATTTGTCTCAGAGAAATGAGCAAACAAATCAAAGATCCAACAGGACTTTTCAAAAAGAACAATAGCTGAGTCCAGGATCCTCACCAACATCCTCACTCTTAACCCCAGCAAACTCTAATATGCAAAAATGGATAGCAGTCATTTTTGAGAACATGACATATGTTGCATCTACTCGCCCGTTCCCTGGGCTCACTATGATCATTGCTGCTGTGTAAAATGTTTTGAGATTCATTGCATAAATAATGTGCTGTGAAACTAAACTATCTTATCTGGTAAGTACAACAATGTCTTTTTATTTAAAACCTGAGAATACTGTGAATGCCGGAGAATTCCAAGTTATTTTTTTCTCACTGTAAATAAAAAATAGTAATGCAGAAACAAAGTAGGTTGTATGCTTATTTAATCTAATCTTCCTGTAGTCAGGGAGAGTTGGTAAATTATTCTGTTTTATTTTTTTGTAGTTCTCTCAGAAGACAGCACAACTGCCTGCATCCAGCCTTATGAAGAAGTACAAACTTCTGTTTCTGATCTGTTAGACCATCAGGACGCTCTGGGAAAGTCGATAAAATGTCACCAGAGCCGGGAGCTACCCAGAATTCCTCCTAACGATGCCATGGAAACCATCCTTTCCCCAAGAAATATTGAAAATGATCAGGGTCTTGGAATGGAAGGGCCTTATGAGGTCTTGAAAGATAGCTCCTCCCAAGAAAACATAGTTGAAGACTGCTTGTATGAAACTGTGAAGGAAATTAAGGAGGTAAGAGTAGCAGCCAACGCTGAGAGAAGCTGTGGCAGCAAACCAAAGTCTACACCAACAGTTGCTGAAGGTCTGGACCAGATTCCTGAGCGCAGGACTGAATCAGCAGAATATGCCTCCGTTGACCGAAATAAAAAAAGTCGGCAAAGTACTAATTCAGAGAGTCCTCTTGGTAACACTCCAAACATGGAAGATGAGGCTCCACCTCCCGTACCTATGAAATTCCTTGATGAAAATGAGAACGTTCAGGAAAAGGAAGCAGAGGAGAAAGAAGAGGTGACTGAGGGGGCTGGTGAACCTGATAAGGTAAACCCTATACTGACAATTGTATAATGACAGAAAAAAGACCCTATGTACGTAGATGGTGGTCAAAGAGCTGAAAGTTTAAAAATCATCCTTTATTTTAAAAAACATATTTAAATTAAGGTCATGCATGGCTGTGAAATAGTGGCAGTGTGAAGCATACGCTCCAGTCTCTCTGGTGAGGACAGTTATCCATACCATCCTGACCTCCAGATTGGATTCATGCAGTGTGCTTTACTTGGGGCCACTCTTAAAACTATTCAGAAATTGCAGGTAGTACAAACTGTTTCTGCCTGCTTCCTCAGTGGTGTTAGATGTATGGAAGCTATCACACTAGTTCTCTAAAGGCTGCACTGGCATCCTATTCATTTCTGTGACTTAGGGTCTTTCTCCTTTAGTTTTTGCTAATAGCTTATGCAAATAATACCTAGATGTACAAAATGGAGAGCAGGGCTTCTTGGTAGAGGCCATTCTTACTTTGGAATGCACTTCCCATATTGGTTTAACAACAGTGCAACAAAAGTTTACAGGCAGGTATGATGAGGCCCAGCCCTGACGTTCTTACAGTCTAGAGGCCAGGTTCTCTGCTGTGTCTAAGGCACAACATAGGAGGGGACAAAGTTGACTTTAAGCCACCTTTTTGCCACCCAGATTCCACTTGCATCAGTGGTTGGGACGGCCCCTGATGTAAGTTAAATCTGCCCTAGGAGCTACTCTAACTTAGGGTTTGTCTATACTACCTGCCGGATCAGCTGGCAGCAATCGATCCAACGGGGGTTGATTTATCGCATCAAGCTAGACATGATAAATCGACCCCCAAGTGCTCTCCCGTCGACTCCTGTACTCCACCAGGCCAAGAGATGTAGGCGGAGTCGACGGGGGAGCATCAGCAGTTGACTCACTGCAGTGAAGACACCGCGGTGAGTAGATCTAAGTATGTCGACTTAAGCTGCATTATTCACATAGCTGAAGTTGCGTGACTTAGATCGATCACTCCCCTTCCCCCCGCCCAGTATAGACCAGGCCTTAGGCATCTTCCCCTGGCTGCCATTAAGCTGCTTTGTAGGCTAGAATGGCCATAGAGTTCTTAACAGTGTTAAGATCAATCAAGTTTCACAAAAGGCTCAAATGAAATTATAGTGAGTTTTTTCCCCCATTATTTACATTTGCTGAGGTAAATAATAATGAGACAAGAACTGCTTTGGTCTGTACATGTAAATATAGACTCCTAAAAGACATGATTGTTTATGGTCTAGTCAGTGCTGTTAAGCAGTTTCGGAGACTGCGTGATCACAATGGCAAAAATGTTAGCCTAGTGATCAAAGTTAGCTTTTCCCGGTAGTAGGGCAATGGTGTGTGTGAGCAGTTCATCACTTTGCCATATCCTAGTTCTTCTTGTACACCAATCAAATCTGTGCTGAAGGAGACCAATCGTGGAGAGGGAAACTGAGGCAGGAAGTGCCAGCCATGCCACACTTGACCAACAGTATGTGCTACAGGGCAGACACACCCTTATGATATGGGGTCATATTTGTTATTTGTGAGTGTACATATTATATTGGATAATTATTAGGGCTGTCAATTAATCGCAGTTAACTCACACGATTAACTCAAAAAATTAATCATAATTAAAAAATTAGTTGCAAATAATTGCACTTTTAATAGACTACCAATTGAAATTTATTAAATATTTTTGGATGCTTTTCTACATTTTTCAAATATATCAATTTCAATTACAACACAGAATACAAAATGTACAGTGCTCACTTTATATTATTTTTTATTACAAATATTTGCACTGTAAAAATGATAAATAAAAGAAATAGTATTTTTCAATTCACCTCATATAAGTACTGGAGTGCAATCTCTTTATCATGAAAGTACAAGTTACAAATGTAGGGGTTTTTGTTACATAACTGCACTCAGAAACAAAGCAATGTAAAACTTTAGAGCCTACAAATCCATTCAGTCCCACTTCCCATTCAGCCAGTGGCTAGGAGAAAAAAGTTTGTTTACATTTACGAGAGATAATGCTGCCTGCTTCTTAATTACAATGTCACCTGAAAGTGAGAACAGGCGTTCACATGGCACTGTTATAGCTAGCGTCGTGATATTTACGTGCCAAATGCGCTAAAGATTCATATGCCTCTTCATGCTTCGGCCATTGTTCCAGAGGACATACTTCCATGCTGATGATGCTTGTTAAAAAAAAATGTGTTAATTAAATTTGTGACTGAACTCCTTGGGGGAGAATTGTATGTCCCCTGCTGTTTTACCTGCATTCTGCCATATATTTCATGTTATAGCAATCTCAGATGATGACCCAGCACATGTTGTTCGTTTTAAGAACACTTTCACTGCAAATTTGACAAAATGCAAAGAAGATACCAGTGTGAAATTTTTAAGATAGCTACAGCACTCAACCCAAGATTTAAGAATCTGAAGTGCCTTCCAAAATCTGAGAGGGATGAGGTGTGGAGCATGCTTTCAGAAATCTTAAAGAGCAAGACTCTGATGAGGAAACTACAGAACCCAAACTGCCAAAAAAGAAAATCAACTTTCTGCTGGTGGCATCTATCTGACTCAGATGATGAAAATGAACATGTGTTGGTCCGCAGTACTTTGGATCGCTACCAAGCAGAACCCATCATCAGCATGAACACATGTTCTCTGGAATGGTGGTTGAAGCATGAAGGGAAATATGAATCTTTAGCGCATCTGACATGTAAAATATCTTGCAACAATGGCTACAACAGTGCCATGCAAACGCCTGTTCTCACTTTCAGGTGACATTGTAAACAAGAAGCAGGCAGCATTATCTTCTGCAAATGTGAACAAACTTGTTTATCTGAGCAATTGGCTGAACAAGAAGTAGGACTGAGTGGACTTGTAGGCTCTAAAGTTTTACACAGTTTTATTTTTGAATGCAGATTTTTTTGGACATAATTCTACATTTGTAAGTTCAACTTTCATGATAAAGAGATTGCATTAGGTGAATTGAAAAATACTATTTCTTTTGTTTTTTACAGTGCAAATATTTGTAATAAAAAATAAATATAAAGTGAGCACTGTACATTTTGTATTCTGTGTGTAATTGAAAACAATATATTTGAAAACGTAGAAAACATCCAAAAATATTTAAATAAATGGTATTCTATTATTGTTAACATCACGATTAATCACTATTAATCTTTTTAATCGCTTGACAGCCCTAGTATTTATTAAAATATTAACAAATCTCCGAAGTTTCACAAGTTTTAATCTGAATGATTTTGTCTGAAATGTGTATTGGATATACATTACTTGCTATTTATTATTGGTGAGTCTCCTATTTAACACGTTTCAATCATCCAATCAGGGAACAGATAAACACCATATAATATGATGGCTATATTAGAGTTAAAGTGAACAATTTACACACAACTCATAAGCCCGAAAATTTTTCATCAAGACTGTTCAGTGAATACTTACAAATAACAAGGTTATTAAAAGAAAATCAAGATTACTTTGCTAATAATTAACCAAAAAGAGCTAAATATATAATAAATATTATATGTAATGAATATTAACACCAACCCTAATATTTATGGGGAAAATTTGTCGGTATTAATGACTTTATTCCTGTCAGGTGTGAAAAATCTTCCAAAAAATCATTTTATTTCATAGTCATTGATACAAAGAAATGTATTCGCTGCTCTGTAGCTCTCCAATCCAGAGAATACAATGTCAGAATCTGCTGGGACTGGGAATTGATTAAAATGGTTCACGCTTTGAAGAATTAATCAAGAGATGACACATACAGTTCCCTAAGTGCCAGAGAAAAGGTGTTTGTCTAATTAAAATTTATTCAGAGTAAAAGTCATCCTGAGTTAGAGCTCCGGCAGCATCACATGTTTCTTGCCATATACATGCATAATGCATTGAAGTGCAGGCCTGTTCTGTCCTTGAGAACTACGGCTGCAGCACAGTTGAAAATGGGAATTGATTGAATATTTTAAACATTGTAGATGGGGGTTGTTGTAGGGTTTTTTTAATTCTAATTTCCCATTCCTCTGTTTAGCTTTCACTATCAATGCACAGCAGCATCTGCTGGTTCTGCTGTAGCAACAAAAAAGGGAATGTTTATGTAAATATATCTTTGATTTTTTGTTAAACCAACTTCACGGGTAACACCGTTATTTCCTCAGTTGTGAAGCCAAAGCCTCCAACCCAACATCAAGACATCAGCCACAACCATTTTGCAAAGGTTCCATTAACATTTTAACAAAGAATGGTACCTCCAGTAACTCGTGTCTCTTTTAAAGGGATATTATTCCCTTGAATTTGTTTAAACTAATTATTTTTAATTAGAAATAGTTCTTAGATGTTTAAATAGTGTGATATGGTAAGCCTTACGTAACAGCCTGGTGTTAATTGTTCATGATTGTAAACCTTTTGCGGACTCATTCTTATTTCACTAGAAATCTAACTGCAGGAATCCTATAGAACAGAGTCCATTTAACCATTGAATTGTTTTTACCTTTCTTTATGAAAGTTAGGTTCAGAACAACACTGATGCACTAAAAATCCATACTACCCTCAGGGCTGTTCATCTCAAAAGCAGTAGCATAGATATTAGTTGATGTAAAATAGAATGGAGTGAGCAAATACTCATGTAATATATATTGATTCTAAGGGGAATGCTGTATTACAGGTTTCACAATGTTCACTGTTAATGAGGGTTTTTTTCTCTTACAGAGGCTTAGTTCGCTGTCTTACAAGTCTCGAGAGGAAGACCCGTCCCTGACAGAAGATGATGTAGGTTTCTTGCATGAAATGTAATAACTAACCAGAAGATTTTTTTTTCAGACTGAGATCAGCATAAGTTCTGCATGATTAAGTGGGGTCTGAGAAAGGTGAAAATTCTCTGTAGGGAGACTAAAGCTATGGAATATTTTTTCAGTTTATAAAGCCAAAGTCATAAAATCTGAGGTGTTTTAAAGTAGAATGTTGCATTTTGGTTTTTCATACCTGTTACTAGGGGGTTACTGCCTTGTAAAGAATTAATGCCAGTAAATAATTTGAGGCCATAAATAGTCCAGTTGATTTCAATGAGGAGTTCTGCTTAAAATAAATCAATGGCCCAATATGGCCTGTTGTTTTTTTAAGTGCTCCCCCACCCACAGTGCTTGGGGAAATGTAAAATAGATTTAAAACATAATAAAACCATTTGGAATATAAAGCCATCCTCTAAAAATTTATACAAGTAAAACAAACTAAGGGGATCCAAATAGGGAAGGAAAAGAAAAGTTAAAAAAAAAAAGAGGCTGAGTATGGTCACCTCCAGTAACCCCATGAAATATACAAATATTTGTTGTCTAAAAAGCAAACACAAACTTTACAGTGCACACATGATCTCATCTTTTCTATTAAGAGATCCATAAACAGGCAGTCATCCTTGATCTTGGGTTCTTTTAATTTAGTCCTGAGAATCTGTGTGTGCATGAATATGGTATTTCAGGAAATATATTAGTAGGAAAACTTTCTGTCTGTATTTCCTATTGTTTGCAGGAAATAAGAGTTGGGAAATATCACCACCTGGAAAGTGATACATCTGTTAATTAAAAAATACAACAGAATATTAATGGAAGTGTTTGCACTCCCTATCTGAATCACAGGTGCACCTGCAGCACTCAGTGTTGTCTTATGATAATGCACATCTCTTGTTTCTTAATTCACTTCATCCAAACCATGAATGACCCTGCATGCGTGTGAAAGACCCAAGATGTAGCAGAAGAGCTATGTTTCTATTAACAAAGGAGGTAGGCTCAGAAAACCCACATAGGTGAGCTCCACCCCCTGACTTATGCACTGCAGGGCTCTCTGCATTCCAGTAGAGAAGGGATATAGACAGAAGTGGAACCGCAAAGCCAAATCCACACATAGGGTGGAGCAGTGAGTATCATCTACTTCTGCATCACATACCTAGAGCAGTGGCTGTGCGCTGTCTACTGCATTCTGGGGTTCAGAATTCCACGTCTGGGCTCCAGGCCTTTTATGTGGGCTTGTTTGAGTACATGGCCCCTTTATTCAGCTCTGTGTTTTCTGAGATTTGGCTCTTTTTATTAATTATTCCCTTTGAAAGTGCCTTTTTCTTGAACCATTCATGCCCTTGTTTAAGGTTTATTATTTCATAGCTTTTCAGGCATGTTACTTTTGTCATCTGCTAGTGGGAATTGGCTAGTGTGACCATGGGTGTTCTCTCTCCCTGTCAGCCTCCAAGACATGCTTACAAGGGTTTGCTCTTTAACTTGCAATCCTAAATCACAGAGGGACTAAGTCTGTGACCCCTGCTCAGGAAGCAATCCCATTGAAGTCAAATGAATAGGGTCTGCAGCATCAGGCCCAGCATTAGCTCTAGTTTTATTTAATATCGCCTTGGCTGAGTAAATTTTGTCCTCTATTTTTATTTTCTCTTCACATCCTTGGTCCCTCATAGAACCTGTGACAACTATAGTTACAGTGCAGCCTCTATCCAAGGGTAAAGGAGTAGACATTCTATCTAAAATTAGGTACAAATTACATTCCACCCCCTCACACACACATTGTTTTCCAGAAGCTGAAACCAGTCATCTCCTTGTCACACCCACAGTCAGCCAGAGCATTGAGAATATTGAGGTAAAAAGTACTATAACTCTATCAACTTTCCCACAGGGCTGGCTATCTTTCGTATACAGACTGGACTACAAGGGATTATGTTCAATGGTTGTTTTTAATAAATAATGTTTTCTCCCTAAAAAAAAAATCGATGCATGTAGCAGCGATATACTTTTCCAGGGCTGACTTCAGAACAGATTGAGGATGATGGAACAGAAGTTCTTTGCTATGGTTAAAAATTAAATCTCTCTCTCTCTCTCTCTTCCCTAGATTTCAGCTATGTACTCTTCTGTGAGTAAACCAGGACAGGCCATCAGAGTGCTGGATTCTACTTACACTAGTATTCAAGAAGTTGTACCTCAAAGGTCCCCATCTATTTGCAGTGGCCTCTATGCTAGCGTAAAGGATTTGGAAAACACCTCAGACATTACCACTGTGCCTCAGTCAGCGGACAGGCCAAATGGGGAGTCAGAATTGGACAACGAAGTTGTCCAGTCAGTAAGCCAAGAGGAAGACAAGACCTTATCAGTGCCTAACACCAGCCAAGCTATTCTCCAAGGAGAGAATGACTATGAGAGTATAGGGGACTTGCAGCAAAACTCTAGGGATATCTCCAGACTTTAATTGCCCTGGCAACAAGATTACGGCAGGTATTATCAACAGGTATTTTCAACAGATTCATGTGAAACAAGAACAGGAATATTTTTCCTTTTGAACAACAGAAAGTCAAAGTATAAGTACAGAACAAAAGTTAAAGACAAAGAAGCAAAGCATTTTTCATCCAGGCTGCACTATCTTGCCGGTGGTGTGAACCTTACGAGACCGATTACATCAGTTCAGAATTTATATCAAAAGGGTTTAAAGGATCCTTTATTGTTAGAGTTGCAAGACAACCAGTATTTGGGAAAGAGTACCACATTTGTCACCTCAAAGTGATCACTTCCTAAAAATACTGTCATTAAAGAAAACCAGCTTTACATTTTTAAATATTATTCCTGTCATTAGCTTCAAAATATTTCTCAAGGATCGTTTGCCTTCAATTTTAGCCCTCCTCTTCAAAGAGCAAATCTCAGATTATCTTAGCTCCATACTTCAACTCAGACTTTCTTTGTGGGGCCATGAAAAATGAGTTTAACTTCTCTACATAGGAGGAGCTCTGTATTTCAGTATATTAGGACTGTGAGCTCTTGCAGCCAGATGTGATCAGAGATGGAGACAGAATATTAATGTATTCCATTCCATTTTCATTACTGCAGTGGTCTAAACAAAGGTACTTCAGTTCACAAGTGACTTACATCAATAGTACTTGAATTCATTTTGTAGAGTCCATGTTTTTTTAAGTCAAGCTTTAAAACTTGACTGTCAGTATTTAAGGACTGGTATTTGTAGGGGTTGTTTGTTGCCTTTTTAAAAATTATCTGGGAGCATATTGCTTTAAAACTATAGCCTTAACATTTAGGTTCTGTCTCTCACACACATTCAGACTTACACACACAGCACTTGGGCACTTGTCATGTTGCATCTGAAGGGCTGTGCAAATGAATGTCCAGTCCACATTAACGCAGCATTGACCTTATCTTTAAGAAATCTGCTTCTTTTAAGTTACTCAACTTAGATGTAATCAGATCAAAATGTAAAAAACATATTTTTTTATCATGAGAATTTATTTACTGAGTGTGGTACGTGGGGGTTGATATTTTAAGTTTTATGCTTACTTCCTAACAAATTTTCCATGTTCAAAAATATTGTATATTAACTTGCCATTTTATGTAACAAAAAAATTATCCTGATTTTAAAAACATTACCTATTAGTTGTAATAGCAGCACATAAATTAATACTTTAATTGTTACTAGGCTTTATCTGATTTCTAAGCAGGTATATAGAACATGCCTTGCTGTTTTTTCAAAAATCAAAATTATTCAGTCTCTGTAAAGACTTTTTTAAAAGGCAAAGAGAGAAAAGAAGAGGATGAGAAATGTTCGGGGAAAGCCACTGGTGCTCACCATTCCTATGCTAAAAAGTAATAGGGAAAGAAAACAGAGAGGGAGGAGAAGAATCTCTTGGGATGTGATGGTAATTGACCATTTTGGCAAACAGTTTTAAAACCAGTATCATTCCAGAGATTTCAAGTTACATGGTTACTAATAAAAACAAAGGGTATGGCTTAGAGAGATTAAATAGATAGGTATTTTGCTGGTTCTTTTGTTTCTTTCAACACACCATAATGGGCTATACTAAGAACACAGGAAAATGCACCACATCTGGTGTGTGTGTGTGTGTGTGTGTGTTATTTTACACACACAAACACAGCTGCAAAATTTAAATCCAGATTTAAACTTCTCCTCCCAAAATTTGATAGTGTTCAAATCCATGGGCCATCTCATCTTTGTATATGCAATATTATATAGTGTATGTTTGAAAATGTTTGGTTTTGCTTTAAAAAAAGAAAAGAAAAAAGATATGCATACATTGAGACTGGCCCACTTAGTGGTATAATAGCCTATATCTGTTTCAATTGGTATTGAGGAATACTGGTAATTTTTACCAGGGATGTATCAAATCTAACTGGGTATTTTCGTAACTCATGGGCACAGTAAATACTTGGTCTCATAAAGCACTACATACCAAACATGAATTTGTTTAAGAACACACAGTTATAAAAGTGATTTTTAAACTGTAAGCAGTAAATTCATTCATTATTATACAACACACATTAGAATTATTTTGTGAAGCAGTGATACTTTTCAATGAAATCTTGCAGTATCGGAGCAATGAAAACTTTCTGGATCCTGACCTCCCACTCAGTCTGGGACATTTGGGCTGTGACTTTTCCTGTACATGCAGAGGCAGTTCAGACTAAGCCAAAAGTATCTTGGGCCTGGCTCAAAGTCCTCTCAATACTTTCATCTTGTACCAGATTCTCTGCTTCCAGCTCATTGTTTCTGCCTCTTCCACCTTTCAAAGCTGATTTTGGGGCAGCAGCAGCCAAAATCTTTTCCCCCTATTTTCCCATTTCCTATCCTTAAAAATTTTGGGGGGTGGCACCCTAAACAAGGGCCCCTGCTGAGATCCTTCTTTGCCTATTCTTCCCACCCCCATCACGGCAGCACAGGTCAAAGGTCAAGAGGCATAGCATTTGCAAGGAGATCTTCTCAGGAGCCACACATGGGGAGATCTGCCAAGACTACTCCCTAAGGGGCTCACAGTCTGGGTGGCTAGTTGGGACATTTATATCCCTTCACACCAGCTGAGATTCCTTTGTGGGGGTGGATCAGCGCTCTTCAACTGTTGGAAGCCAGCAAACAGAACAATCCTCCCTGATGAAGGACTCTTCAGGGGCAAGTCCAAAATTCCCATTCAACTTCCAGGTCCAATCCACCTTTAAAGCGAAATGTGCTAGGGTCCCATCCCAAGTTCTTACCTGGATAATTTAATCACTCGACAAGGAATCTGGCATCTCTTCTCACTCCTTTCCAAGAGTAAAATCTGGACTCTTAGTGATGCTTCCACTGCATTTCCTCTTCAGCTGCATATTGGAGGAGGGGAAGCACCAGAGCTTAGCAGCGTCCTTCGGCAGAGATGTTTCAAACCAGGATCACAAAATAGATTAATACTAGTATTGTAAGGCAGAGGGACATGCTTTGCCTGGCCTTACTTTTCTCTCCCTTTCCATTAATTCCTCCATGCTCACTACATCCCACATATCTCATATTAGGGGTGAGGTCAGTATCCAGAACATAGAATTTGCTACCTGATGATTTTCTTTCTAGGGCCTGTGCTACACTTAAAAGTTTTGCTGGCATAGGTATGTTGGTTAATAGTGTGAAAAAAATGACACCCTAAGCAGCATAGCTGCATTAGCAAAAGCCCTAGTGGAGAACCCAGCAAAAATGTCCTTTGGCTGGAATCACTAATTTCTTTCAGGGAACTGGTGTAAACTATGCCAGCAAATCACTCTCTTTGTCAGTATAAACTAGTATCTCACGATATAAACTCTCTCCACTAGGAGCGTTTGCTGATTCAGTTATACCAGCAAATCTTTTCTAGTGTAGTCAAGGCCCAAAACTGATCTCTCCTCCAGCCGCAAAGATAAAGCCACAGAGTATCTATATCGCATCCTTATTGAGACCCAGGTACCTAGTTATCAAAATAATCTAATCTATTCATAATCTCATCTATTGATTAGTATTCAGAGTTTCCATACCACTTTGTAAGTGTTCATTTAGTACAGAGGTAGAGAAGATGTGACCAGCCCCTGAAGCCTCTTGGACAAGTTAGAACTGACCCTGCAATTTGTAGGAAGAGAGGAACACAGACTAAATGTCTTTGAAAGTCAAAATGGTTAGTCCCAGGATGGGAATAGTCATGTCACAATCTTTCCAGAAAAATAGATGTTACAACAAAGCCTTGCAATGAAGAATTATTGATCATCTTTTGTAAATCTTTAGTGATCCAGTGAGTTTCCAGGCCGGGGGCGTTCTGGGTCTACATCTATCTAGGATTAATAGTTGCTCATGGTCTTTTGCATTAAAATCACTTGTAAACTCGCTCATATGTAGCAGGGTTCATAGTATTCGAAAAAAATTGCAGGAGGGAAATAGGTGCTGTGATTCAGATTCTCATTGGTCACCCAAAGCTGAAATCTTCCACAGTAGCAGTTGGCTAGGTGTCAACTGCTGCATCCTTCAGGACATAATATATTGTGCCTTTAGGAATCTATCTTCCAAGGATTCTTCTGGGCTGTATACTTTTCCGTGGATCCCTGCACTGCTCCTGCTGATAGTCTTGTTAAAAATTCTGTATACTTGGTGTTCTCTGTTGTTAAACCTTTCAATGGTGCTTTTTAAGATGCTGGATAAATGGTTTCAATGTGTTTTCTCAAAGTTGAAATGTAAAGCTGTGACATACATCATTCTCTGTTGCAACATGTGCTTTCCAGAACTTAGCTTTAGCAGTGTTATTCTAACTGCAAAACTCTCTAACAATGCTTCCTTTTTTCTCGTCAGCTCACACAGATTCAAAACGGAGTCCTCACACCTCACAAGCCTAGATTGGTCAATCAGTATTTTAAATCAGCCAATCAGAGCCAGTGCCTGGGCTTAGGATCAGTTGGACATGTGAAGGTGTGATCTGTACATTATGGGATTGGAATAATATATAAATTGGGCTCAGTTCAGGGACTTACCTCCCACTCCCAATTCTGTATATATATTTTACTTTGTAGTCTATCTAATGAAATATAGTCCTGAAACATAAATTCAATTGGAGTCAATTCTGAGGTCCTTTCTTTGCCTTTAAACAGGCAAACTCTCATTTAATTCAGATTTAAATCACTGACTTCAGTTGGAGCATGCCTCAGTAAGGCTATTGGACTTTGCCCGAATGAAGAACTTGGGATTTAGCTTCTTGCAAAAATACAAGAATTCAGAAAGAATGACTCAGCATCTCAGGCAATGGTTTGTTGCACTGTTACAGACCTCAAACCAAACACTGTTCTGGGGGAAAGAAGCTCAACTTTTATTGACTTGGATGAGCATTGCAGCTGTTTACACCTGTGCAAAAGTTGGTCCCTAGTGTCTCTCTGTAGGATGGTAGTGATGGAGGACATTGTGAAGGGAGCTCTCTGTCTGAGGAAAGGCAGGAAGATATATTTCAGCATCCCTTTCCAGCTAGCCATAGCTTATAGTGATAAAGGAAATTGGTAGATTTATAACACTGAAGAGATAAATGGGACAAGGGAGTTCCCACACTCAGATAATTATCTGAAGTCCCTTCCTTGCAGAATGGAGAGCCCCATCAGATATACCATTGAAGGGGTCAGTATAGAAGAACACATGCTCATAATTCTTATGTTCCCCCCTCAACCTAGAAACATACAATAGATTTATTTCCTACGTGCCAATTTTTCAGTAGTGCTAAAGCATACCACATGCACTGGGCATTGCACTTCTCTTGAGGGCTAGTGCAAACATGAATGGTGATTTCTGATGTGATCAGTTTCTGATGTGACCCAGTGATCAGTTTACAAAACATAACTGCACATCTTGCATATGTAAACCACTGGTCAGTGTGTATCACGCATCTGTCCTCCATCCACAGAGGACGTGAGTTGGCTACAGTGCCTGGCTGTCTAGTTCAAGCTATAACAGCTCATGCTTTTAGCTCTGGAGGGTCCCAGTTCAAACCCTTGCCAAGCTGGCAATCATCTCACACAGGCTGACAAAGTGCCTACAGCTAAAGATATAAACAGATCACTGTTTCTGCACAAGAGTTATTAGGCTGATCTACTGTACGTGCTGTTGTCCTGCTGTTTACTTTTTAAACTTATGGCTTTCAGTTATGTTCTTTTTATCCTTTTAATGGTAGTTGCTCACAAGTTTTGTATATTTACAAACCCACTGGCTAATTTTAACAAGCATGAGTATATATTTGTAATAGAAAAGATAAAAGGAGACTCTTTGGTTTAAAGGGTACCTATGTTCAAAGGGTAGCTGTGTTATTTCTTCTTGTTTGTATAAAAATAACAAACTGTTCAGATGATTGGAGGGTACTTAAAGTTGATTTTGTTTTAAAGATTCTGTTATTTATTTTATTTGGGATGACTTCCTTTCAATACAATATAATGTTGCCACCTCTTGTGTTTTATCTTATAAAATTTAGTGTTGGAGGGGGGGATGTTTAGTGTATCCAGCTTCTGGAATCCTGTGATTACTTGAGATCTCAGCTTTTTAATGTTTTTTAATGAAAATTTTTAACGCCTCATAGTTGCAGAGAAAAGCTTGAAAACATGACAAAAGTGTAACCAAAAGGGTCTACAACCCAAGACACAAATTTTATTTTTTTTAAATGTCATGATCTTTTTAACACTGGGAGTTGGCAGTGCTGAAGCTCTGACTTCGTAATGCCCTGAAAGAGACTTAAAATATTTCATTTCTGGCTTTCATTATAGGTTGGGTTTGTAACGTTCATCATTTATGAAGCTGTTTAGTTGTTGGTGTTTTTTGTCACGTTGACAGCAATCAGCATTTTAACAACATTTTAGTCCTTTTTGAAATATGACTTAGCTGTCAGAGGGTATGGACACTGCATCAGATTGAGAACTTAGAGTGAAATTTTCAACAGCAGCTAACTGATTTAGAAGCATGGGCCCTATGCTCCTAAGTCACTTAGGTCCTTTTGAAAACCACAGATCCTGCAGACCTTACTCGGGCGAATAGCTGTCATCTTGGCAAGCAGCTCAGCTGACAAGCAAGGATTGGTGAAACATAAACAGACAATCTGATAAAAATGTATTTTTAAAGACACACCTGAGAGGACAAGAACTTTTCAGGCTTAAGCCAAGCGCGTGCAGTCTCTCAAATACCGGAGGACACTTGCATTTTGCTTTTATCCTTGAGGCTATATCAGAACTATTACTTAGCCCATTTCCTCAGGGTTTCCCTACAAGCAACCAGCTCCAGTCTACTGCTCTGGCTTTGCACAGGCAACTGGATTTTCCTAGTAGCTGCTGATTTGCCACCTGTGTCTCCCTTAATTATTTCCACCTGCACCTGTCTCTACTCTGGAAGCGGCTGTTTGCTTCACAAGCTTTAACTCATACCAGGAAAGCTAGCTGAGCCTCCTCAGGCAGACCAGTTCTCCAATTTAAAGAAAAGGGAGTTAAGAGCCAAACTGCTAAAACAGAGAGGATGGTTTCTTCTTGGGGGTGAAATGTAGAATGCTGTAGCAACTGGAAGAAGAATAAGAAAAGGAATGACAGGTACGTTTCATTTATGTTTCAGCCATATCACAAAGATGCATTCCTCCCAGGAAAGATTCCCCTAGCAGGAGAGACTGCAATTCAAGGGGAACATTCCCAATGCCTAGGAAGAGATGAATGCAGCTCCTTCCATTTCTCTTCAGGAGTGTTGCTCCTGAAGGTTTCGGGGTTCTCAAACTTCATTGCAGCCCCCTTCTGACAACAAAAATTACTACAGGACCTCAGGAGGGGGCTCAAAGCCTGAGCCTGCCCGAGCCCCACCACTCCAGATGGGGGGGCCAAAGCCCAAGGGCTTCAGCTACAGGCAGGGGTCCTGTAACCTGAGCCCTGCCACCCAGGACTAAAGCCTTTGGCCCCAGGTGGTGGGGCTTGGGCTTCGGCCCTGGGCCCCAGCAAGTGTAAGCCAGCCCTGGTGACCCCATTAAAATTAGTTTGTGACCCATTTTGGGGTCCCCACCCACAGTTTGAGAACTGCTGCCCTAAGCAAAAAGAGGCAATGGCAGGAATTCTCTCCTCCCCCTGCCCCATGCTGTACTCTACTAGCTTTTTCTGGAGAGCCCAGATAAACAACAACAACAAAATGAAAACCTAACTTCTAATTAGACAGCACTCTATTAGAAATCTCAAATGGACAAATTTTGCGATTGCAGTGATGGAAATCCTATTTAACCACTGCCTTCAAGATGTTGATCTACACAGTGCGCTAATAGACTGTGACTGAAATCAGAATTGGCCTCCTTGATTTCAGTAGGATTATTCACAAATGTAAGAGTTGCAGGAGCAGGCCCTTAGATACAAAGCAGCTAACTTGTGTTTCTGTGAGTATTCTGTGTATTACAACTGAAGTGATAAAAGGTTCTTTATTTCTCTGACCCTGGTCTACAATTGATCATGACTTCCATTGCAGCCAATACAAAAAGCTCCATATTTCTATGGGGAAATGTTGTTAATAGTAGCTATTACAAAGAGTTTGCCTTGCTAATAATTCTCCAAGGATTTGCTTTAAATCAGGTATAGAGAATAGCTAGGCTTCAGTACAAAAATCTTTATTTATGTATGAGACATCGTATTCTTAAAGCATATGGGGTTTATATTTGTAATTATAGACACTGTTTTTTAGTTTAACTATTGTTCTATAATGGAAAAACATTTATTATTAGAATGATTTCCTCATAATGGTCTATTAAGGAACAAATAGTGTTTTCTGGGCTATAGTTCACTTTTGTCACTGAAGCAGAACTGCAAAATATTTTCTAACCATCCTGATTTGAAAATCCTGAGATGATTAGAGCTGTATCCAACTATCTTAACTTGGACTAGATACAGAGAATATGTTAAATATACTGTATGTAGTTCAGATGCATGGATAGTGAGACACTTAATGGAATGGTTGTAATATAAGAGAGTGCATGCAGACTTCCAAGATGGCAGCATCTCAGGCTTGTTTGCAATATAGTTGGTGATTTGGCTTGCTACCTTTTGAAATCAGTATAGTTTTATTCACAGAACCAGCAAGCAGTAGTGTAGTTTTCAGAAATTATGTAATTTCAGGGTTTATACCATTATGAAAGTAATTCAGATCCAAAATACTAAGTTATGGTTTTGTAAATTGATAAATGACATGAAGTTCCTTTCAACATTTTTTTGTAATAGTATGTATTGATCTGGTGTAATCTAGCTCTACCATTATTCTAAGAATGTTCATTTGATGTTTCTAGCCAATTTAGCTTTTGGCTGCTGAAAGCACAGTAGGTAATTATTTACTGTAAATATAGACAAGTGGTATGTAAATACATTTTTTGCCCTGATGTAACTTAAGTATGAGGCAAGTTATGTAAAAGTAAGAACACAGGTCAATAATTTAAAATATAGGTTTTAATTATGTATAGCAGTACCCTAATCCTTATTTGTTTATATGCTGGTAAAATCTTCATATTCTGTACTGTATTCTCTGAAAAGCTTTTAAAATAGGCTCTGCCATTTTTCTGGTTCATATGATATTTGCATATCACTTTTGAATATATTGGTGATCCATGTAAACAATGTCAAACTGAGAAATGTTTCACATTGAAATGAAATGAAACACATCAAATTTTAGAAATCTTAGGGAAATTCAGTCGATTGAAATCTATAAAACAAATTAGTCAAAACTAATAAATACAATAAATCAGTTTTGTCACTTTTTGAAATTGTCTTTTTTTAACAAATAATTCCACATGTTCTTTTTGCACCCTGCTCCTGAAGCCTCTGAAATCCTCATTGTTTGATGGAGTCTTTTGCATTGATTTCAACCAGAAATATTTTGGATTAGTCATTAAATCTGATTATTTAAAGAGAGACTCTGACACTCTTACTCATGTTGAGTAGCACCTTGTGCCATGAAGCAGATCTTGTGGAGACTTGGTACGTGTGCACTTCCATGCATTGCAAGTGGTCCCACTGCAGACACACACGGTACCATCGATTTCAGTGAAATCAGGTTATTGGAATGTGGCCGATAAATTTTTTAACATGCAGTTTTTCAGCATTTTTGAAGAGCAACGGTTACCAAGTTTGTGCACCATATTCTGATGATGCTGTAAAATTTGATTTCTTTTTCCTTGCTAAAATGTGTACCCAGAGTAACGTTGCAAAGCTCTAGTTGTGTCAAAATACATTTTTTTGGTTTGGTTTGGTTTTGCTCTGAAAACTTGTAACTTTCACTGTTCATAGATGCTGAGAATTTGCATACATAAGGAAAACATTTTAATGTTTTTTATCTTCATACTTGTACTCCTAGCATGTAGTCTGGCTTTGAGAAACTCAGCGAAAATCGATAGCATGTTAAGTAAGTATCTGATTTCGCTGCCAATAATTTTGTATTTATTTTACATGTATTTGCACATCTAATTTCTGTACAGTTAGAGTACAAATCATGTAAGGTAGCTAGTCAAGGTTCACTTTAGAAGGGAAAGACTGGAGGAGAAGGTATTACAATTTCCAATGTTAAGATAAAAGGATTAATTTTAATATATTAAAAAAACAGAAATGAGTTTCCACTAGTCCAGTATTTACTATTCCAGCCTTAAAGGTACCTGATGAGGAACTACTACCTTCCAGCACACGGGCCTTATCTCGTACATAAGTAGTCTCATGACTTCATCTTGGAGATGCAGAACTGCTCACCTGAGCTGTAGGGACAGGCCTATATAGATATTTGTAGCATTTGATCAGACAGACTCATCAAAATATTTTTACTAATCAAATGTTTAGTCTATTGTATATCTGTATGTTGCATTTAAAAATAAAACAACCAACAACCACCCAGACTGTTTCTATGGCTAATCATGAGGCATTGTTATAACTTAAAAATGATGGACATCATTGTCTTAATACAGCGAGACATGCCCAACTACCTGAATGAAGCTTTTGAGCATGGAATACCAGCTGAGCCGTTTGTGACTTTCCACTTGCAGAATCATAGAAGTGTAGGACTGGAAGGGACCCCAAGAGGTCATTTAGTCAGTCCCCTGCACTCATGGCAGGATTAAGTGTTATCTAGACCATCCCTGACAGGTGTTTGTCTTATCTGCTCTTAGAAATCTCCAGTGACGGAGATTCCACAACCTCCCTAGGCAATTTTGATCCAGTGCTTAACTACCATGACAAGAAATTTTCCCAAATGTCTAATCTAAATTTCCCTTGCTGCAATTAAGCCCATTTCTTCCTGTCCTAGCCTCAGAGGTTAACAAGAACCTTGTAACAACACTTTATGTACTTGAAAACTGTTTTCATGGGCCCCCCCTCAGTCTTCTCCAAACTAAACAAACCCAAG